GTGACTTGCCGGTAACGAGATTGAACGAGGTATTGGGATACCGACGATCGAATCTCGGGCAAGTAACATACCGATTAACGAAGGGAATTGTATACGGGGTTGCTTGAATTCTCGACATCGTGGTTCATCCGATGAGATCATCGAGGAGCATGTGGGAGCCAACATGGGTATCCAGATCCCGCTGTTGGTTATTGACTGGAGAGCCATCTCGGTCATGTCAACATGTCTCCCGAACCCATAGGGTCTACACACTTAAGGTTCGGTGACGCTAGGGTTGTATAGATATGAATATGCAGTAACCCGAAAGTTGTTCGGAGTCTCGGACGAGATCCTGGACGTCACGAGGAGTTCCGGAATGGTCCAGAGGTGAAGAATTATATATAGGAAGTGCAGTTTCGGCCATCGGGAGAGTTTCGAGGTCACCGGTATTGTACCGGGACCACCGGAAGGGTCCCGGGGGTCCACCGGGTGGGGCCACCCATCCCGGAGGGCCCCATGGGCCAAAGTGGGGAGGGAAACCAGCCCATAGTGGGCTGGTGCGCCCCCCTAGGCCCACCCATGCGCCTAGGGTTGGAACCCTAGGGGTGGGGGGGCGCCCCACCTTGCCTTGGGGGCTACTCCACCCTTGGCCGCCGTCCCCCTAGGAGATCCCATCTCCTAGGGCTGGCGCCCCCCCTGGGGGAGCCTATATAAAGGGGGGGGGGAGGGAGGGGGCAGCCATACCTTGAGTCTTGGCGCCTCTTTCTCCCCTGCTACACCTCTCTCTCGCAGTATACGGCGAAGCCCTGTTGCTGTGACGCCCTGCATCCACCACCACACCGTCGTGCTGCTGGATGTTCATCAACCTCTCCTTCCCCCTTGCTGGATCAAGAAGGAGGAGACGTCACGCTGACCATACGTTTGTTGAACGCCGAGGTGCTGTCCGTTCGGCGCTAGGATCTCCGGTGATTTGGATCACGTCGAGTACGACTTCCTCATCCCCGTTCTTTGAACGCTTCCGCGCGTGATCTACAAAGGTATGTAGATGCAATCCAATCACTCGTTGCTAGATGAACTCCTAGATGGATCTTGGTGAAACCGTATGAAAATTTTGTTTTCTGCAACGTTCCCCAACATCTCCTCCCACTAAAACGCATCGCCGGAAATCCTGAAATAAATCCAGGAATAATGCGAGCACCAGGATTTGAACCCTGATGGGTTGGGGATACCACTGTCCACCTTACCAACTCAACCCCAGGTTGATTCGCCGTTAATATGGGCCTTATACATGGCCTTCGAAGTAAGGGCAAATTTACGATATGTACCGGGATGGTCATAGGGGGAAGTACCCTGCTCTCACCTGTTGTGTCACAGCGCCGTCATCTTTCCTATCGGTGGCGCCCTAACTTCATGGGTGCCCAATCGCATTCACCATGGTAACTAGAAGATACCCCGTATGCTACAACGAAAAATCATTAGAAAGTATTTGAATTCATATTGATAATGGTGTATGGTCTATGTTGAGAACTATCCAAGAGATAAGAATCCTCTATATCTAAATAACTAGCCCCCACTAACTATTTCTCACAACATGCAAGCATGCCAAATCATCCCACAAGATGCATGAGAAAAGCGAACCAACCTGTGGTTGGATGGTTAAAGGAATTGTGGTATTCCCAGCCCACCAGGGTTCAAATCCTGGTGCTCGTATTTTTTCCTGGATTTATTTCAGGATTTCCGGCGATGCGCATTCAGTGGGAGGAGACGTTCCCGTCGACGACAAGGTGTCTACGCTGACTTCGTAAATTTGAAGATGATATGCCGGCTCAGTCTTTCGGAGGTGCTCATAGGGGTAGGGTGTGCAGGTGTGCGTTCATAGGGCTGAGTGTATGCGCATGTATATGAGCGCTTGTGTCTGTACTGATGTTCAGAAAAAACATGCATGAGAAAAGGCTCATCCCTGATATCATATGTGTCTCAACATGCAAGCACGCCACTTCATCATTAAACATGCATGAAAAAAAAGACTCATCTCAACATGCAAACATAGTACATAAGAATTTTCATTCTTCTACTCCCTCCTTCCATCTATATAGGGCCTAATGCGTTTTTTAAGACCGCCTTTGACTATTGACAAGATTAATAGTACATGACATGCACAATGTGAAAATTATATCATTGAAAGCTCCTTTCACATACGAATTTAACGGTGTGCTTTGTGTAAGTTGCATGTCATATATTATTGCTCTAATATTTGATCAAAGTTAGCCTCAAAAAATGCATTAGGCCCTATATAGATGAAAGGAGGGAGTATGTTATTTATATTTAATAATTTTTTTACAACAATATAATAATTGAACATAATAAATTATATGTAGTTTCAGTTTTAGCTTTTTATATTATTACTTCAAATATTCATGTTTCAAACGACGAATCACATTAAAATATGTTGTAAAATATTTTCGCAACAATGTGCGGGGCATCATCTAGTTTTAAAGTTATTGGTGGATCATCCTTGTCAAAGAAAAGACATTATAAATGATTCTTGTGATACCTCATATGAAAGAGGTTTGAATGTTTTAATGATCCTATATTTGGTCCGATGATAGCAGAAGATACCAATATGACGTTAAACGAAAAGCTAGGTCAAGCGTGTGTTGAGTGTTGACTCAATCACCCAAATATAAGTGTGAAAGTGAACATGTCAATTTGCCGAAAGTTTAAATTCGTGGAACCTAATGACGACGCATAAGATGATGTATAAAAAGTTAAAAACTAGGCTGATCTGCCCTAGGTACTGCGTCAGCACGTGCTGCAATCTATCGGTTGGTGTTGGATTTGGAACTCCACAGCCTAATAGCGGACTTTGATGAGTTTGCAAACCACATGTCCAATGAATGGTAAGAGCAACTCCAATGGACCGACCCAAATGGACGGTGATTTCGTCCGTTTATTCTCCGTTTGGGTCGGCCGCCAGTTCGGCGTCCGCCCTGTTTTTCATATGGGTCAGCAGCGCGCCCAATGCGCTGACCCATATGTGCAGGTGAGGCCGGCTAACCATCCAATTGTGCATTGCATTCAGCATATTATGAAATGATAATTTAACAAACAAAATATTCCGCCCAAATAAATAGTATAGTTTACAGGCCAAATAAAAATAAAAATGTTTCACTTAGTTTTACAAACGAATAAAAGAAGATACATCTATTGGTTGCCAACATGAGTCCATATATGCTCAACCAAATTACATATTGGGAATCGTCGGAGTCGCAAATGAAATTGTGGAAAAAGTACTCGTCGGCAGAGTCCATTTTCGTACCTTGGCAAACTATCGAACAGTTTGCGGGAGTCGAAGAAGGAGACGGCCGGCGAGGGGAGACGCGGCGCCCACAGACCAGCTAGCTGCCCTGCCGGCGTGCGACGAGTGTGACGGCGTCCGACGAGCATGCCGGTCGTATGTAGCGGGGGCGGCCAGGCGTCTTCTTGGTCGCGGGCAGCTGTGCGGTTGGGGAAGCGGCGGCGGGAACTAGTTTGCTCCCCGGCGGCGGCGGGCGACTGGGGGCAAGGGCGGCGTTGCTGGGCGGATGTGGAGGCGGCGGCAGCTGGAAGAGTCGCTGCAAAAATGGGCGGTGGCGTCAGTGACGAAGGAGGCGGGGGGTGAGGGTTGCTTGTTGGCCAGAGGAGGGAGGCCGATGTGCCACAGACCAGCGGGCCCGGGGACAGGAGTAGGCGAACGCACATACGTCCGTTGTGTGTCCACGCCGACGCAAATCAGGCTAAAAAATGGGCCGGAAATGGGTCCGCGCGTCCGTTTGGGTCGGCGCGTTGGGCCGCCTTTTCTGTCCGTGCCGATCTAAACGAACGGCCGCGGACGAAATGGGTCGTTCTATTAAAGTTGCTCTAACAGCCTAATTGCAAAGGAGGCAGAGGAATTATTCCGAATAAAAGAGGAGGCAGAGGAATTAAGCGACGGCATGCATGAATGAAATCTGTCTGTCTGCCTGTGTGTCAGCGGCGGATCCAATTAATGGTGATTGCGAAACGAACGAGCTTCACGAGGAAACGATGGCGATCTCGCCGCCGTTGGGCGTTGGCCCATAACCCACTCACTCACTCTGCCAGACACCAAGCGAGGACGTGTGTACGTTCTCGGCAGTATAGCAGTTTACTTAACACTGTTGTGGTGTGGTGCTCGTGTCGTGTGTACCCGACCATTAATTAATCGCAAATAAACGTGAGGACGATCGACCGGACGCAAAGTTTCTTCGGAAGTACTAAGCAGACGATACACAGCAGCCGAACACTGGACGATGCTTGATCTAGCCGCTGGATTCCACTTTGTCCAACGCATGCACGGTTGGATGAGTGCGATCGTGCACAAACCGGCTGAACAACGTCGTGTGTATAGCAGCACTCAAGTTTCTTTCTCTCAAGTCTCAAGCGTGAGGTCCCACCGACCCCGTCCCAGCGGTTTTGGGTGTACGTGTCTGTCTGCCATGAACTCATTACCGTTCACTGTTGATAGCTAACCAATTCCCAAGTTCCAGCGAAGAAGAGAAGTGGATGTCCGTGTAACCAACGCAACCTGCGAGAGATGGATGTTACGTAACGTAGTACGTATGAATACGATGTTAGTGTGGCAGACGGACGTACCAATCTTGTTCTTAGATGGAGTAGGCAGCTAGTAGTGCAGAAAGTACTGCCAATCTTTTAGATTGCAGAGGAGATTTGGGTCCTAATTACTGAGCTCTAAATACTATAGGAGAAACGTGTGGCTATGTGGGCGTCCAGTGCGTCTCGTCCATTTCCGTTCCTGCCGACGGACAGGGACGGAACACTTCACTCGCTCACGCTCACGCTCGAGCCTATGATTTAGAGGTCACATGCAGCTTTAATTCGCTCAGACACGCAGCAGCAACCCAGCTCATCCCAAGCCTTCTACGGCTATAAGAACCAGCCAGCCCTCTACCGGCCAACACAGACCAGAGCAGAGCAGATCGAGCGCCTCCATTGCAGCAGGAATGGACTTCGGTACTGATGAGGGCCAGCACGGCCATGGCGACGGAGGCGATGCGGCGGAGTGGAAGAAGGTGGCGGAGCTGAGGGCCGTCGCCGAGGCCCAGGACCCCGCGGCCAAGGTACCCTACCCTACCGCATCCATCCATCGTCTCCTTGATTCCTCGTCAGCTCGTCGCGTGAGTACAAGCCAGAATCTAACACGACACTAAACACCCGACATGACACAATGATACGGCTAGAGTAGAAACACTGTTGTCCAAAGTACTGACCCCTGTCACTGTCCTCGACTCCCTAAACCCATGACCACTTCATTTCCCAATCAGCACGGTTAAATTAGGTTGCTGTGCTAGCTTAATTAGCTGATAGTGGTTGGCTGGCCAACCACTCTTCTCATTTGCGAGGAGAGGAGATACATCCAATCAGCACTCCAATCTTGATGGTCAATCATCCTTATAGAATTGGCCATCCAACCATGCATCGTACATATCGGCTTTTTTACTTGGTCTATTCTATGAGATTTTTTTTTTCATGACTACCCGACAGAAGCTTATGGCAAGGGAGGTTTTTGTTCAACCATGGATGGTGATGTAATCTTAAGATTGGGCCTCCATCTTAGGTTGTTGCTCTATTCTTACTTTTTTTGCAAGATAAATTATTTCATATTTCGACGTGTTGGCTGTCCATCTTGTTATGCAGAGGCCTGACATTTGCTCAATGTGGTTGTATCAACTCAATATAACGATTGAATGGAAATGTCTTTGTAAAGAAAACATGTATCGTATGTGTGGGCAACAACAATCCACCTGTTGATCTACGCTATCGTGCACGTGTAGGAGGAGGACGATTTCGTGCTGCGCCGGTTCCTGTGTGCTCGGGACTACAACATTGGCAAGGCGTCGACGATGCTCCTCCAGTACCTCGCCTGGAAGCGTGTCACCAAGCCCCATGGCTCCATCTCCGGCGAGGAGGTGCGCGACGAGATCGTAAAGAAGAGGGTCGACATGCAGGGCTTCGATCGTCTTGGTCGCCCCATGGCATATATCTATGGCGCACGCCACTTTCCCGCCCGGCGAGACCTTGACGGATTCAAGCGCTATGTAGCCTATGTCCTCGACAAAATATGCACCAGGTACATCCATATATTGATTTTTCATACTAGCTAGCTACGTTTCATCAGCGAAACTGCTCTATGAACGACAAAACATGGACGATGTGTGGACGACAACAAATCCAACGGCCGTTGCACCGCTGTGGGCATGCATGTGTGCGGCCACATTATCACTGCCGTTCATGAGTCGTCTGATTTTGCCGTCCGTATAGCAATCTCCTTTCATCAGTCGAGTTATTAATTGATGGGTTTGTCTTTTTTTTTGACATTCAACACCTCCTTTATTAATTAGCTACAATAGTAGCATCAGAAACAATCAGGGGGATAACCGCCCCCGGGGCTGTATCCAGCCAAACACCGGGAGGATTGAATTTAACTACTCTAGCTAACTCATGAGCTACTTTATTGTTATCTCTATAGCAGTGTTCAAAGATGATATGAGTAAAATCTAAGGACATAAAAAAACAGTCATCAAGGATGGCACTGGCAACCGAAGAAGAACTCCCTTCTTTAAGCGCGTTGATGACCTCAAGACTATCCGAATTTAACTCGATCTTGTTGCATCCAGCGGCACGGGCTAGATTCAAGCCAAACCTTACTGCAATTGCTTCTGCGGTAATTGCATCATAGCATATGTTCAGTTTTTCATTGGCTGCTACCACGAAATTACCATTGTGGTCTCTAATGATAGCCCCCACAGATCCCTCCAGCGAATCATGGTCGAACCCCGCATCCACATTCAGCTTGACGTACCCATTCCTCGGCCTCATCTAGCCAGCCTGTCGGATCTTTGGTTTTGGAGAATAAGCATTAATATAGTTAGCAGCAAGTGATCTCACCGCTACACTGATCTGTGAAGCATTAAGCTTTACTCCTCCATGTGTTAGCTTTCTTCTTTCCCACCACAAAAACCAGCAGCAAGTGGCAATTGTTTCTCTGAATTTGGGGAGTCCCAACACATGGATATGATTATCTGGAAGATTGAGAAGGAATTCTAAAGTTACTTCCCCAGATATGTCCAAAACCAGGGCTTTAGTGGTTACCTCATGCAATCCAAGCAGCTTTCAAACCTCGGTGGCGACTGGGCACTCAAACAACAAGTGTCGAATGGTCTCAGGGCCTAGGTTGCAAGAAGGACAATGGGCTTTTATCTTGATATGTCTATCCGCCAATAACGCCCGGCATGGAATAGCGCTGTGGATCACTCTCCAAACAAAAATTTTAATTTTTGCAGGACAATTCAGCCCCCAAAGAGATTTCCACGTGGGTTTAGGCGCTGATGAGCTACAGCCAGCCTGCATATGGTGACCAAACTGGGCCTCCCAAACAGCATGATATGCAGATCTTACCGAGAAACCCCCTGTCTTTGTCAAGCTCCATGCCAAGAAGTCTGACATTTCATATATAGGCAGTGGGATAGCAAGTATTCTCTGGGCATCAACATGACAAAAAGTTTGGTACACAAGCTGCCTATCCCACTCCCCCGATGCAGGATCAATTAGCTCAGATACACGGGATAACAAGTGGTTACCTCTAGTGGAGATAACTTTTTTAGATGGTGATTGTGGGATCCAGCAATCTTCCCAAATTTTAATTTTTTGTCCATCGCCCACTCTCCATATTATGCCGTGCTTCAAGGTGTTCACTCCTTCCATTATACTTTGCCATGTGTAGGAGGCCTTCTTCCTCAACCCCACATTCATAAGATCGTCATTTGGGTAATACTTTGCTTTGAGAATCTTTGCACATAGTGACTCAGGATCATCAATAAGCATCCATGCTTGTTTTTCCAATAGAGCCAGATTGAAGCAGTGAATGTCTCGAAAACCCATACCTCCTCTGCTCTTCGGTATGCACATCTTCCACCAAGCAAACCAGTGCATTCTCTTGTGTGACGCATCATCACCCCACCAAAAATGTGATATCGCATCTGTGATTCCTTTGCAAATGTTTTTAGGAATTTTGAAGATCGACATCGCATAAGATGGTATGGCTTGTGCAACAGACTTAATAAGCACTTCCTTACCTCCAGAAGACAGGCACTTTTCTTTCCATCCAGTAAGTCTCAAGATTAAACGATCAATCAAATATTGGAAGCTGTCGCTTTTATCCAAACCCAGGGTAGCAGGCAAACCCAAATACTTATCATTGATGGCCTCTGTCATTATATTAAGTGTGCCACAAACCTGAGCCTTCATGTTAACATCTGTGCTAGGACTGAAGAAAATGCTTGATTTATCCACACTTACTAGCTGACCTGAGGCACCATAGTATAAATCTAGTAGTGATTTCAAACAAGTGGCATTTTGTACATTAGCTTTCATGAGAATTAATGAATCATCAGCAAATAAGAGGTTGGTGACCAACGGTGCATCACGACAAACCTTAACTCCCACTAACTCTCCTGACTGCTCTGCATGATTTAACAAGGCTGTAAGTCCCTCTGTACATAGCAGGAATAAATATGGTGACAAGGGATCTCCCTGTCGAAGTCCACGAGAAGGTTTGATTGTTTCCGATTCAACTGAATTATATGTCACTTTGTACTCCACCGAAGACACACATGCCATTATCATTCTGACCCAATCAGGTTTGAAACCCAGTTTCAGCAATATTGCTTCCAAGAACACCCACTCAACACGGTCATAGGCTTTGTGCATATCTAGTTTTACCACACACCAGCCCTCCTTGCCCGCTCTTCTCTGTTTAATAGCATGGAGACTTTCATATGCAATCAGAACATTATCGGTAATAAGCCTCCCTGGGACAAAGGCACTTTGTGTAGGACTTATAATTTCTGGAAGTACATTTTTTAGCCTAGCAGCAATCATCTTAGAGATAGTTTTGTAGACCACATTGCATAAGCTTATAGGTCTAAACTGTGAGACTTTCTCGGGTGTATTTACCTTAGGAATCATTACAATGATAGTGTCATTCCAACCACGTGGCACCTCATGAGAGTTGACTGCATTTAACACCTCCATGACTAGATCGTCCCCAAGCATTGGCTAGAATCTTTTGTAAAAGACTGCATGTAAACCATCCGGCCCTGGTGCTTTAAAATCACCAATGGAGAAAAGTGCCTTCCTAACCTCCTCAGCCGTGTAAGGTGCCATAAGAGCATCATTCATAGGATCTGTTACTCTTCGTTCCACTAGAGACAACACATTATGGTCTGGATTTTGAACCTGCGAAGTGAATAGATCAGTGAAGTATCCGGATATAATGGTCTTTATATCATCATCATTTTCTTTACACACTCCTGTATCGTCTAGTAGTTTTTTAATGCAGTTCCTTTTCTTCCGCGCTGCTGCTGCTCTGTGAAAGAAAGTTGTGTTCCGGTCGCCATGCAGTAGACAGTTAGCGCGCCCACGCTGGAGCCATGTCATCTCCTCCTGATCCAACAAGTTCTCAACAAGAACCTGAAGCTCTTTCATCTTTTGCCGCGCTTCAAAAGTATTAGGATCACGCCTTAGTTTCTCTATTTCCTTCTTGGTCGTTATAGGTTGTCGGTGGGGCAGGAGAAGTTTGCGGCAGTGATAGACTTGAGAGGGTGGGGTATGCAAACTGCGACATCCGAGGCTATGTGGCAACGCTCGACATCATGCAGAGCTATTACCCTGAGCGATTGGGGCATGTGTTCCTGATTCATGTGCCCTACATGTTCATGGCCGCATGGAAGATGGTTTACCCCTTCATCGATGACAAGACAAAAAAGAAGTTTGTGTTTGTCGTTGATAGGGACCTCGATGCCACTCTTCGGGACGCCATTGACGACTCCCAACTACCTGAGGAATACGGCGGCAAGCTCAAGCTATAGGGCCACAGTAGTTCAATGTCGTGCAAGTCCATCTGACTATCGAACAATTAACATATGCATTAAGGGTGCCCCGAAATAGCCATCGATGGAGCCTAGATGAGAGAAGCGACAATCCGTTCAATGGCAGGAGATCGACTCACCGTAGTCTAGACATAAATGCCATATGAGGCTATGCAACCACCCTTTATGTATGTTTAGCTATGAGTGAATCCTACATAAATAATTCAGATGAATTTGATATGGGAATTGACTAACTTGTGTAATAGTATGAGAGGGACTGGTGAGTCTAATTAAGTTAACAATAATGTACATACACATCAAACATTTTGCTTGGATAAACATGTATCCCCCCATTCTGAAATCTAAGGCCTACAGATTTAATATGAAAGCCGAGAATATTTATTTTAAAATAGTGGAAGAAAGGCAACCGCACACCTGAACTTTTCATCCAAGCTCAAAAGATGTTGTGCCTTATTGGGCCCCTCCATCCAAGTTCAGGTGTAGTATTCATGTATACTACCTCTGTTCGGGTTTATTGAGCCTCTTTGTATTTTGGGCCTGACTTTGATCATCTATAGACTACTAAACTATGAAGTATATGCTAACAAAATTATGCTGTTCGATTTGTATTTGAAAAAGCTTTCCAACAATATAATTTTTGTGACATATAGTTTACATTTCATTAGTTAAAATTTTAAGTCAAAGTTTAGCCCAAAATAAGAGGGGCCTAATAAACCCAGAAGCTGGCCCAAAATTACACTCGGAAGCCGGCCCAAAATTACACGCAGTCTGCCCCTCCCACACGCTCTCTGCCCTCGCTCCCCTTCCATCCTCGTCTTCCCCACCGCCGCCCAGATCCGGCGTCCCCGGTCCCGGTGGCCCGCAGCTCACGGCAGGCCGCCCAGCCTGTCTCTCCTCCCAATCGAAGCTCGGCCCCGCCCCGCCGGGCAGCTCCTCCACGACGCCCTCCTGCAGGTAGGCGCCCGCCCACATTCCACCTGATTGATTGTGCTAGCGATGCCACTTCCGGCGCATAGTGGCCACTGGAAACTGCCATTGCCAAGCGGAGTAGGGCCTCTTACCTTAGTCTCCATGGTTGCTACCGCCTACCGGTGAATCGCTAACCGTGGGTCAGAGATGAATACTGCATCGAAAGATTGTATTGATGTATGTGTGCCTAGTTAGTTATTTTTGTAGTACTACTCAGTGTGGTAAAATGTACAGCCCACTTTTGTTGAAAGACAACATGAATTGCAGTGGTGCACACATTTCTTACCTCACTCGTTTATCTTTCTCTGAAACATGTATTATTTCTGGATATCAGTTTGTAGCGCATCACTGTAGTTCAAATCGATTAGCTGCCGCTGAAGCTGAATCCTCTCAGTTTTAGATGATTACCAAATATAGACGCGTAACCATTGATCGCTGAGAAACCAGAGCACGTACGAGTCTATCAGAACTTACCCTGTAAAACATTAAATTTCTGCCAGTAGGGAGTAGATTTAACTAGCTAACTGGAAACAATTTCAGGAAGTGCTGCAAAAAACAAAAGGAAGACAAGGATCACGATGGCGTTATGTCAGAGCATCTCCAACAGGTGCGGCAAAAGGCGTGGCCGCGCGGTAAAATTTGGTTTTAGCGCGCGCCGACTGGTTCCGCGCTCCAGCGGTGGCGGGAACTTACCGCGGGCGGGAAGCGTTTGCGCGCGCGCAGGAGAAAGCGGCACGCGGCGCGGTAGATTTGGCGCGCCGCTTCGCGCGCGCCTATAAAACCACGCGCCCTCCCCTCACAACCTCGCCACCTCGCCGCTCCACCGCTTTCCGCGCCACCATCGCGCCACCATGCCGCCGCGTCGCCGTGGTTCTTCAGGCTACCGCGGCGTCCGCGAGCGCCCCAACGGCTGGTACTCCGCCGAGATCCGGTCCGGCGACGTCCGGCTCGGCCTCGGGTCGTTCCGGAGCGCGTACGACGCGGCGGCGTGGCGCTTGGATAGGCCCCGGTCGCAGATGAACTTCCGGGACGTCTTCACGCGCGAGCAGGCGCAGCGCGTCGCCCCTCCGCCGCGTCTCATCACCAACATGGACCGTGCCGACCACGCTCGGCGCTGCCGCCGCCTCCTCATCGCCGAGGAGGACGAGCGAGCCATGGCGGAGTGGCGCCGTCGCCACCTGGAGGACGTCGCCGACGAGCGTGCCTACTGGGCGGAGAGGACGGCAAGGCGCCGCGCGGAGTGGGCGGACCGGCGTCGGCGGAAGGCATTGGCGAATGCGCAGTGCGATATCGTTGAAGCATGTGGGAGGTCGATCTTCACGTCAAACGATGAACGTTGGGACGACATATGGCTCGATACCTCGGACAACACCGACGAGGATGATGATGGTGATGATGGTAGCGACTTGGAGTAGTTTCTATCTATGTATGCCGTAGTAGTTTCTATCTAGTTGCACCGTAGGTCTATCTATCTATGCTTTCGAACTATCTATCTAGTTGCACCCATGTAAAATACCTTTGTATCGTTTTTTTATCTATGCAATTTATCGTTTTTTATTATCTTATTATCTATGCTTCCGAAAATGTTAAATGAGCGCGCGTGCTGCATTTTTGCGCGCTGTTGGAACGGCGCGCGCGCGCTGCATCTTGCGCGGCTGCTGGAGCCAGTGCTGCGCGCCACGCCAAACCAGACGATAGACGCACGGCAAAGCTGTCTTTTGCGCGCGGCGCGTTCGGCGCCTGTTGAAGATGCTCTCAGGCACTGGGATGGTCAGACGGGGAGGTGATGCGGCCGGAGTCGAAGCCCTGCTCCCTCCTGATGCGTCACACCGCGGGCATCTTCTCTGTCGGTGGCGCCCTCGCTTCCTGGGTGCTCTGTCGCCTTCACTACGGTAGTATTTCTTTCTTCCGCCAAATACTTTAACTTATACTCTACTTACTCATCTTCAGGCATGCATACGCGTATTTGTTTGTTGATATTGATACTATCGTCCGTGCTCTTTCTGTATCTGTCTCTGTATACATGCTTTATATGAGCACTGTTTTGAGTGTTACTAGTCGTCAAAATCAAGCAACTTAAACCTTAAAAGTATTTGTGTTTACTAACCCAGCAGTGTATGCATCGGTCATATATATATGCAGGTCCGAGGATAACAGTCCCGAGGAGCCTGAAGTGGGCGTCCTGTGGAGCGATCTGCACAAGCTCGGCATCGGCCTCGCTGGTGCGGCTCTTGAGCCCGGAGTGCGAGCCGCAGAACATAGCGGCTTACGACAGGCCCGAACACAAGCCTGCATAGTGGTAGTATACCTTGGAGGCGAGGTTCTTGATGATCTATCCCAGGAGATGGAGACACATTTATCAGCACTTGTCGAGTGAGAGAGGTTCATCTACCCATATCGTAGCTGCCGATGGTGTGCGGTGAAAGGTCCAGGAGTTCAATGTGTCCTTTTTTTCCTGGTTGTTGCTGCTGGTGTTTTTTCTTCTGAAACTAGTGCATTCGGTACTTCCTCTGTAACTTAACATGACAGTGTTAAAAAAGTCTTATAGTACTCCCTCCGTCCGGAAATACTTGTCGGGAAGATGGATGTATCTAGATGTATTTTTGTTTTAGATGCATCCATTTTCATCAATTTCTACGATAAGTATTTCCGGACGAAGAAAGTATTAAGTTATAGAGGGAGTACCCGCAAAAAAAAAGTTACACAGTACTTGCGTACCAGTACCTCTGGTCTCAAGCAGAGTGCTTGTTCTTCCTTTGTTGGAAGTGAGCCGGCAACTCAACAGTCTGACTGAAAGAAAAGCCTAGTTGAGCAAAGGCAGACGAACGCCAGCGTCTGCTGGCCGGCGGCCGGCGTTCCTTGCGGCGGAACAGCAGCGTCGGAGAGGGTTGAGCGCACGCAAGCGAAGGGGCACGAGGGAACCAGCGGCTTGTTCATTACTACTCGTGATGGATCAACTCCAACCGCTGAGTGATACTACCTCCGTCTGAGATTATTAGTCCCAAAGACCAAAACAGCAGAACCATGAAACAGTAATAATTAGATTTATTGATTCACCTACTTATCTGCATGCACAAAGCAAAAGTCCACATGCAGCGGCTTACACGCGCATCAAGGCAAAAGTAAAACAGCATGCACGCAGCGGCCTTATAAATCCGGACGTCCTCGCGTGGCTCACGGCCTAATAAACTCAGACAAAGGTAGTAAGTAAGCTCTTCAGTTAATCCATGCCGTTTGTCTCAAAAAAGAAAGTTAATCCATGCCGTACTCCCTCGATTGTTCTGGCGACTGTTCGGTCACTCGCCTGCCCTGCACTTTAGTCCAGCCGAGAAGAGGACTGACACTACAGCTTAGGCCTCAGGACAGTGGCCAGTCAGATTACTATAGCTTACATTTTGTATGTGTATTTCTTTTCAATATCAGGACCGATTGATATTGCTTCGATGCTAACAGACTAATTGGGTTTGTCTTCATCTGCCATTAACATTTTGTACCTCATGATGCGGGAATCTATGAGTTTTCTGTTGGCCCATCCGTAAGGGCATCTCCCACACTTACTTTTAAACTGTCTGCATATGTTTGCCCTATCGGTCCAAGGACTAGTTAGACGTCCGTTATTTCATAAACCAAAGGGGCTTTGCAGGCATCCCGACCGCTGCCACACACGTGCTAGCCACTCGGATCCACCCCAAAATCTCTCCTGTGGGAAGCAGTTGTCGTGCATTCAAGTCGGCTTGCGCCTTCCAGAGTGCCAGCATCACATTCATGTCGTCCCAGAAGCAAATTTGACTTTTCATTAAAGTCGGCATTCAAGCGCGGCGCTGTCCCAAAGCGACGCCCGATCTCCGCACATATTCCATTGCCGGGTAAGCATGACCGGATGCGACAGTTATCCTTAATAGAATAAATAATGCAATCATGTACCATACACGTAGTCGATGATTCACTCATTTATTTATTGTCATCATATATTTACAGGAGGAACATAATGCTTTTTAATAATACTGGTTACTGAAATACATATTATGTTTTTAAGAGTATCACACATTGATTAATAATATCGTAATGTTAAAAAAATTTATAGATTAGATATAAATTACCATTCAAATATATAACTTTCACTATACTTGTTTTCTTAACTTCAAATTGTAATATGTACAATTTTACATAAGGAAAGACTGGAGTTCCGAATTTCATTTTTCTGTGTACTAAGACATTTTATATTGTCCTAATTTCTTTGTATTTTAATACAAATAACTATGCCGAAACATGCCAGTAATATATTTGAGGGGGAAAACAAAATAAATATTTGTACTAAACTTTTATATTTATACATAACACATTTTTATACATCACATGCATAGTAAATAGATTTTTAATATTTTTTATGATAATTAATTAAATGTCAATGTTACTAAATATTAATAATAGTGTTAATTATGTTATAATTGTAATGTATATGATTGAGAATATGCATGCATCATGTTAAATTTAAACTATGTTTATAATAAGAGTTATATTGGTTTTGAGTTTTTCCATATGCCAAGCCTAAAAACATATTTAAACCAAATCTCCACCAATATGACAAAGTAATAAACCAACAATATCACATGTCTTCATGGTTTAATTTGTTATACTTGCATTAGAATAGCGCGTATGTGTGTGACGCGCTATTCGTCACCCTGGGTGAGGAATTCGAAACGCTACAGTCGAGATGTCGCATGCGCCGTAAATTTACCTCAGAAGAACAAGCGCACACGCATGCATCCCACGCACTGCATGAAACTTAAATTCCTGTTGTAAAGTTACAGAACAACTAACGCTCCGTCACAGCTACATGCAACGTATGAAAATGGATTGCATGCCATAAATTTACTTCACGGATCGTCTCCCGGAGAGGGACTGCTGCCATATGAGAGCCTCGCGCAGGGATGCGCCGTGGCCGCTGTGCCCTGTCCGGAGAGTAGTCGCCGCGGCCGGTGGTGAGACAGCTCGTTTCTGCGTGGAGATGCCTTCACTGGAGCAACCGTCCCACGCGAGAAGGCCGCAGTGGGATGGCTTCGTCTCGGCGAGCAGTCATGGTTCTGCTTCGAGGTGCTTCAGAACGCGGCTGATTCATATATCTTTTCCCCTGTATTTAGGTAGACTTGCTCCGTCCATAACGCTCCAGGGAGAGGATGTAGTGGGTGCTCTTGCTGCATTTTTTGTTGTTTGACGATTGTTGGATGTAGTACTGGCTTTCTTTGGAATCTTTGGCACATGAATGACATGCCCGCTGGTGATTATGTGGTCTGCATTGCTGCTTCATATTCATGCATCACAATTATACTGAGACATTTTCTTTTTTGCACCGTTGGTTTAGCAAGTGTATGGTGTAAGGTCATGTCAGAGTATGATACATACTGTTACTTCTTGACTGTTACATATAAGCTCATTTCCTAATACTATTGGTGATTCTGAGTGCTTGCACGTCAAAGTTACACCCCTAGCCTTTTATCAACTCCCTGGTGGACTGGTTGTCAATATCTGAACATGGTAGATATTGCCTTAAAGGAAATGAATGGTTGGCCATCACTCTCCCAGTTACCATAATATGATAACTTTAACAGATAACAACATCATCAAACCACCAAAAATACATTAAAACCCAACTTAAATTGTATAAAATAGATCAGAGCAGCAAAGTAATAGGCAAACCTTTTAAAATTTCGAGTGACAACTTAAATGTGTTGGATGATGCAAATAAAATGAACCGCTCTGGCAGTCGTAAGAAATTACGTTACAGCAACTAGGCACAATAAAGAACATCTACAAATATATAAATAGGAGCAGCTTTGTAATTTACATCTGGTTTCTCACAGGTCTGAACTTCTCCTAAAAATAAGCAACATGATTGGTTATATTCAACCCATGGAACATGTAGCAGAGATCTTTAGCCCAGCATTGATTACCCTTTGTATGCAATACAGAAACTATCGATTAGAACTTCCAGAACAAAGCTTTGATCCAACATTCTTGGTCACACTTGCTGGAGGATCAACAAAATTATGTTCACTGGGTGTCGCTGCCCTCTCCCATCTCTTTGCAGGAAACTTCTTGTTCGGAAAGCATCTGGTGGCCTTTGACGGACTAGCCAAGGAGGAGAGAATGAAACGACAGGTTGATGAGCAGCAGAAGGAGTTGCATCTGCAAGAGCCCGCTCATCTGCCGGTCCAGTATTGTCCCTTTGGACATGGAACCACAGTCCATCCTTTGGTGCGCCTGACCCTGACAGTCATCAAAATGAAATTCTAAAGAATATTGACTCCATTGAAAATGGATTTTCTTAACCCTGCTGGGAGTAGTGCCTGTAAACTTTATGGCTCTGTGAATAAAATAATTGTAAATTAGTCACTCTGAAAAATACAAAAAAGTTCGTTCAAAATAGACTAGAAAAACATAGGTTTTACACACCGTAATTTCTGAATTTGACTGAAGTAGTAAACAAAAGAGAACAAAAATAATAGAATTATACAAGAACAAAAGGAACCTTAGAACCTCTTATTTCTCCTCCTAAACAAGAAGTAAACATATATCTCTAAAATTGTGAGCTTAAAGGCTTGACATGATAATTGACATCCTTGACAAAAATTTCTACAGGGAATATTTTTTTGATGGAACATAATAAATAATATTGTACAAGCCAACAGTCTACATTCAACACACTAGTAGTAACCAAAAATCGACCATAGCAAGAAGCCACAAGTTAATAAAGATTCAGAGTTATGGGCAGAAAACTAAATATTTTCTGTTTCGTAAATGAAGAGCTTCATTTATAGAGGAAAAAAACTTTTAGGCAACATTTACATGGTATATGACAGTACTAAACCCTCCTTTATCAACCATGGAATCTACACGACGAGTAGAAGTGAACTAATAATGACATGGTCTATCAACAAAAACAAAGAAGGGTTCTGCTCCAACACATAGGAACTGGGCAAAAAGATATTAAATCTGAGTATTAACCTTGAAGGACAGCTACAACCAAACCAAATAAATTGGAGGAGGAGATCAAAACTGCAACAGCAATGCCTAGCCTATGCCTATTGGGACATGATCTTCATTCAAATAACTAAATTACTTTCACTAACTGTAGCCATACTGGGAATAAATGGACACATACTCCTGCAAATTTATGTAGAGGGGGCGATACTGAAGAGCTCCAGCAGTGAAGGCCTGGTTGCCGACCATCGTGGTGGGAGGAGATGCAGACCACATCAACAAGCAAGTCAATAGTCAACGTAGCCTGACACCGAGGACCACCAACAACGCTGCACAACGACCGCCCGCGACGCTGCACAACTGCTCTGGTGCTGCGAATCGACGACCACCCGCGAC